GGCCAGCATTTCTCTGAGTGCGAAAACGCTCAATTCCTGGCTACAATACAAAACCAGTTCTCACAACTCAATGATCTCCCTCCATCTCCCAGAACTCCATCTCCCATAGAAAACCTTATACTCAACAACTATAAAAAACTTTAATCAAACATATCTAACAACTACCACATTCTTGCTTTTCTTGAAGCACTTCTCATCAAACACAACAAACCTTTTCTAAACACGGGACTTAAGGCTAGCAAAGAATTACAACTCTTCTCTTAAATTACAATACACTCATTCTACCAGTCGGATCTGTGGTTTCAATTCATCCTTTTGAAATACTACACCTCTTCCAACTCTTCTTTTGTAAATATGACACTATTTAATTTCTATTGCTTACTTCCGTTACTTAATTCATGCGTTGTAAATATATATGTGTATGCATGGTTTTAAATATCATTCTATCTGAGGATGACTTTGAAATAAAGTCGAAAATTTACATTTCACTTCTCGTCTTGTTTTAATGCATATTTTGCAATCTCAAGATATCTTGCTTTTTCGGAATTTGTTTTATACTATATTTCTTTAGATTCTCGGCTGGTCATGGTTTTTATGAAGCTACGTGGCCAGTATTGTGTATGGAGAAAACCATGCATTACGAAATTTTCCAACGAGTTAAAAACTTTTTAGCAATCACAAGAAACGTCGATAGTTGCTTCATTTGAGTAAGCTTGCACCATATACGATTTTGGATGTTGGCTATATCAGCCAATTTAAATTTTTACCTTCAGTCATTCACAACAAATGGTCTGTGTTTGGTAATAGAAAGCATTTTTGTCATAGTCCTAACACTGTACACGTTGCACTTCCGCATCTGGTAATTTGCACGTCTATGGATTAAATTAGGCAAAAAGTAAATGGGCAAATATTCTCATTGATTGAACTACTGTAAATAAAATCAAAAGTTTTAATAGTTACTTCGTAGTTATTCATGAAATACAAAGTTTATTACAGAGACAACTGACGCATGCAAAATGTGCATCAAATCCACTCGATAGCTAAACAAATGCCTGTGATAATTTGGAATCATTTTCCTGTGCATTTCTCGCTCGTTGTAGTTTCATGATATTTTGGTGTCTGTATAACACATTGAGTGTGACTGTTTTTTTAGAATACAGGTGTAAGTCTTGGTTTTGTAAGTGTTTGAGAAAAAGCATAACACTTTGTATCAACATTATTACCAAAAATTTACAGCTGAGAATAGCAAGTTTGTAATAGTATCTTACATAGACATAAGAATGGAGAGTAAAAGAAGTTCAAATTCATTCAAATTGTATGAACACAAATTAACTTTGTAAACTGTGAGAATTTTGAGCAAGCCTGTACCCATATACCATACTAATCTGGAAGTTCGTCATATCAGCCAATTCAAATTTTTACCTTCAGTCATTCACAAAAAATGGTCTGCGTTTAGTATGGATAGAAAGCAATTTTGTCATATTCCTCACTGGCTGACACTGTACTCGTAGCACTTCCGGATCTGCAATTTACACGTTCACGGATTAAATTAGGGAAAAAGTAAATTGGCAAATTTTCTCATTGATTGAACTGCTATAAATAAAATCAACAGTTTTAATACTAGCCATCTCCAGAAATACAAAGTTTATTACAAACAGCTGACACACGCAAAGTGTGCATTAATATCCACTCGATAACTAAACAAAATATAAACGCCTGTGATAATTTGGAATTATTTTCCTGTGCATTCTCGCTCGCTGTAGTTTCATGCTGAGGATACATTTATTGACTACAAAAGAACACTTTATTCTTCCATGAATATAAAGTAGGTGAAAGGCTATTTTTGGATTACAAACCTGAACAGTTTACAAATTTTCCATTGTCATGTCTGTTTTTAAATTTTCACTTCAATCAGCGTGCTGAAGGAAGATGATTAAGATGACAAAACAAAGAGAACAGATAAAGCTTAGCGACTCAGTAACATTATTCACAACTCAACATCGCCACATCAAGAACGGTCGGTTAAAAGAAACTACTTTCCAATCAAGAAAAAGTCATTAAGATGTTCTTCAAAACTCTCTTTTCATTGGTTATCTTTGGCCACGGTCCATGCAGGTAGGGTTTTTGACTTTAGAAATTTTAGAATTTGTAGCTTGTATTGAGACTTTGAGCACTGTGTAGTGTAGAAGACGGCGTAAACTGAGGTGTAGAAAAAGCAGTGCTGACTGTTTTGTCAGTCTTCATTTTTGATTCATCACTGGTTTATAAGACAGATTTTACTGTGAAATTTAAATTTGGCATCTTATTTTGAGAAAAATGCTTACTGGTTTTGTTTCAAGTTATTTCTATACATTTTTTTCTTGCTACAAAATCTTTAAAACTTGGTTGTGCTGAAATACAAATCATCACATTAATCGAGCTGATGACTGTTTCACAATTCACATCGCTTTAATCGTCCTAATCAGGTAATAGAAGAAAAATCATCGAGGTACAAATGCATACCTTCAGGTGAAGATGAACTTATGACAACCTATTTTACACGAATAAGTTTTTGACCTACATCAGCCCGAAGTTGTAAGTGTTAGTGTTCCATGCAATGTAGAGAACCGCGTAGAGTGCGTAATTTGCATAATTTTACAAATATGTTTACATTGCCTTTTAAAGGAAAATGGAGAACAATTGCGTTGAACAAGTGCATTGGGGCCAAAAACAATCAATATGCTGAATTTTCATACCCAGGCCCTTCGCGGTTTATGATTGCTCTAAAGTTACATCATACCACTGGAAAGGTTGGATGTCGTGCTTCCGACAAAACTAACTGGGGTTGCTCGCCAACATACCCAATGAACATTATCATTACAGGTAAATTAATAAAAAATGATCAGCTGGAACATTTTCAAGGATAGTTTTGTTGCAAAATAGTTAACATAAAAATCTTAATCGTCTGTCGAAGAATCATTCAAATAACTTTTGGGTAATTCAGACTTAAAACAAATGGAAGTCGATGTTCTAACACTTATTAATGACAGTATTTCTGCATATATTGAACAATTTAATACAAACAGACGATTAAACCTTTATAAGGCTGAGTAGTTCATATTTTGGGTAGCTAGTTGACTGAGTTTTATTGTTGACGCTCTCGCCCAGCATTTCAAGTCATATTTAGTGAGAAAAACTGGGCAAGAATCATTAAAAGTCATACGAGGCAGAACAAGAATTACGTTTGTAGTGACTTTTAAACTATCCGCGATCGCAATGTTAAAAGTCTGAATGTAGGGTAGTAGTAATTGGCCAAACATTACATAAAAAGCATTTAATTTATGCGATCAATATTTCTGTTATTGAATTTCAGACAAAAGAAATAAACGTATATTTCCTGCACCGTCTTTGATTACAACCCGCACTAATGGCAACTGGTACAGTTTGCCTGGATACACGGAGAACTCGCCGAGTATCACCTTCGCTGTACCAGGTTTCAGATGGTTGTATTATGGTCAAACATTCAGAATCTGGTACGGAGAAGATCTGAAAGATTACACGGAACACGACAATCATGGAAAAACTTGTATGAATGTACTCGTGCACACTACATGAGAATGTACATTTACTCATTTTAAAACTTTGCTGTTGTAATCCGAATAAAATAGTATGTTAGTCTGTTTAGTTTACTATGGCAGTATGGCTATATGATAGATGACAGGTTTCCAATAAGAAATATGAATAAACGAGAAAATGAAATATTATATCGATTCTTCTGAGCTGTAATCTACATCTGCCATCCATTAGTTGGTGTATGTGTTACAAGAAAAATTTAACGCTCAATTCGCAATTCCAACAAATACGCGAATAAATAGCACGCAAACATTATCCTAAAAAGAAACACGATGCATTCCTCTTTTACGAAACTTTTTACTCAAGACGAAATAAAATTTTGCCATTTACAGTTTAACTTTGTCATCTTTTATTTTATAATAAATTTAGGTCAACTAGAATTATTTTTAAATGAAGATATGATTATACCTATATATCATTATTACTATATACTGAAAAATTCAAATGTTTATAGCCATTCGTGAATCCTGAATGGTTCATGAGACAATTGCTTAAATTGTCCAGCAAAGTGCAAAGATCATATCTTCATTTAATTTCAAACACCGCACTGCATAAAACATTCTTTCATAGAATTACTTTTGATAAGGAAGTTTTGAATGTATACCTATATATCATGAATACGTACTATATACAAAAAAATTTTCAAATGTTTATACCATTCGTGAACCTGTGAAAATGTATATGATATTTTTATATCACGTTATGACCTACTGTAAACTGACGAGTTCATCAATATATTTCTGAGCTACGTCTTTGTCAATGTTTTTATATACGTCATGTAACAACTACAAACTGTATACAATTAAACTGGCATCACATCTTATACAATATAAACTGGCAGTACTACGTCTGTATACAATATAAACTGGCAGTACTACGTCTGTATACCAAAGATATACATATATGGAGCTTCATAACACTGTATATGGACTAGAATGCTTCGAAAATTTAGTGTAAGCCTGTAACATATTGGAATTTGATTTTTGGTCTTTTCGTTTCAAACTTCTACCTTGAAAAAGTATGGCAGTAATTGGTACGAACCATTTTTTTAAAAACAAAGAACAACAACAGATCAAATTTGATACAGAAACAATGCTTCATTGTTCCCAAATTAACCTATATAAACGCCAAGCACATTCAATAATCGTCAGTTTAGAGAAAAAATCGCATCATAGGTAAACCATGAAGATGTTCTACAAGACTCTGATTTGCATCAGTTTCCTATTGGCCACAGCTTATGCAGGTATCGTAAAGATTTTTCACGAAAATTAAGAATCGATAAAAGCTCTATTTGTAGCTTGTATTGGGATTTGTGTGTAAGGAAAGGTTGCTCACTCACAGGCATAAAAAGTACTGGCGATTTTGATATTATCAAATTAAATCACTAATGTCGTATAAAAACTTGATTTTTAACATTGACTATCTACTTCGTCACACGCACATTGTCAGATCAAAAAAATCGTTTTGTGTTTACAAGATATTTAATCGTGAGCTAAATTTAAGGAATAAAATTACCAGATCGCATCGCAATTTTTTTTCCAATCATTATGGCAGTTTGGATGAGACACTGATTGCACTGAAAAGAATTACAAAAAGAATTACAAAAGCAAAGAGAAAACAAGAAAATTTTTTAAAAGCAACTAAAATGATGTACTGGCTGTGAGGTAGCTACAAGAAAAAAATCTCTGAGCTACAAGCGCACACATTCGTCCTTATAAATGTTATCTTTTTACACAAGGAATTTTTACAATAAGTTCATCCGTAGCTGCAATTAAGTATTCCAATTTAGTCTGGTATATTTAATTAAAAACTATATTGTGAGTTTGTGACGCTTTTCACGTTTATCAAGTTTTTAGAAGAGTGCCCGCTTTCTGTAAAGTCGACATAAGCGGGGAGCCGTATCAAAATCTCAACTTTTCGCTACATCAAATCACTAGATATAGCTCACATTCTGTTTTACAGGAACGTGGAAAACCATTGCGTCAAATTTGTGCGTTGGGGCCAAAAGGAAAATATGCCTCACATCGTTAAGGGAAGACTACCGCTAAGGTTTAATACCTTACATAAGATGGCTACCGTTAAGGATGTCGAAACATCACTCTACACCATTAAACTAAAATACATGGAACGCTATCTGAAGATAATTATTGAATCCAAATCTTACACCCAGACACGCGAGATCACACCCAGACACGCGTGTGTAGTGTTTCGAGTTGTTGAAAAGTGATTGACTACACACGCGTGTCTGGGTGTAAACTTAGGCTTCAAGAGTTTATTAGACTTTTCTATTAAAGATAACGTTCTATGTATTTTAGTTCAATGCTCAACACTAAGACAAACAGTCTTTATCAAGACTGTACTAACGTCGACAATCTACATCAACAAAGATTGTATGTTTTTATATCTATCTCTATCTTAAGGAAAAAGTCATTTATAACTGTACTGCTCACGTGGGTGTTGTCGTCATCCGAACACTCGTGACTTCTGTTTTTCGAAGACATTGGACAGTCCTCTTCGTTTCCTTTCGCTATTTGTTCATCGCCTTCGTGATTTATATTTTCTTTCGAGCTGTCATGATTTTCTTGAATATTCTCGACTTTTTCAATTGATGTTGTCACCTCATTCGTCTAAAATATCACGGGAATTTATTCGCTGATAAACTGGACAAAATTGTTCAAACCTGCAGACCTGCAGACCTGCTAACCAGAAGGTCAGTTTTATTCCACTTGAAAACCTTTTATTGAAAAACAACTCAATTAAATGGAAAAAAAGCTTAACAATTATTAAAAATGCAACAAAACCGAAAAACAATTAGATCCAATTGAAAGAACAACTCAACTAATTCGAGAAACAACTAAATGAAATTAAAAACAATTTAACGAATTCGTGAGAAAAATTGATTCAATCCTGGATACAAAACAAAAAATCCTGTTGTGTGCTCGGGTTAAAACGACGGATTAATACAAGAATTAGACTGGAGTTAAAAGCTCTTGTAAAACTTCAAACTCTGCAGCAAACTTTGCCAAAAAAGGAATAATTTGAATTTAGCTGGTAATTCAAATATACGTAAATCTTCGCAGTCTCCACACATTAGCATTTTTATCATCGACGAGTACCTCATCAACAATTGTTGTACCTCATCAACAAATGTTGTACCTCATCAACAAATGTTGTACTTCATCAACAAATGTTGTACCTCATCAACAAATGTTGTACTTCATCAACAAATGTTGTACTTCATCAACAAATGTTGTACTCATCAACAAATGTTGTACTTCATCAACAAATCAACAACTTCATCAACAAATGTTGTACTTCATCAACAAATGTTGTACTCATCAACAAATGTTGTACCTCATCAACAAATGTTGTACCTCATCAACAAATGTTGTACTTCATCAACAACAAACCTCATCAACACATGTTGTAATTTCATCAACATGTTGTACTTCATCAACAAATGTTGTAATTTCATCAACAAATGTTGTACTTCATCAACAAATAAAAAATCAAAAATTTGTTTCATCAACACTATTAACAAATCATCAACAAATGTAATTTCAAACTCATCAACAAATGTTGTACCTCAATGCTCTCAATCCGTCTCATCAAACGCGCAAAATGTGTTCTGCCCAAAAAATGTATAGAAAAAGCATGCATTGCGCGTTAATCACCACGTGACGGCTATATTTTGGGTGGCGAAAATGGCGGATTTTGTCATTGTAGTCAATGCAACGTGGACAAACGATAATAGTTATTGTAAAATTGAACTTTTAACCAATGTTTTTTTGCTAACTCTCAGATAAATTAAACGACGAAATGTCGAACATGAATTCAGAGTGCTGCAGGCTCAAAAGCAACGATGTCAACATAAACAAATACGCGCAATGCATCTTGGTTAACGCACCAACCTTTACATTCTGAATTATTCGATACGTTTATCTATTAGTTGATATAATGATGTTCCATTAAAACTCTGTATGAAATAGGATAGAGTACATTCTCCTGTATCCAACATTATCAAAAGACAATCCTTCATAATTACGTAGGAGGGCATTCGGACGAAAAGCCCATTAAGGTTTAGTCTGCACTCGAGAAACATTTCAATTTTGTCTGATTAACATAGCTAATAACTAGAAAGACTAAATAAACTTTAAATAAAAAACAGGTAAAATGAAACCTTTCTTCTAGCTTTGCGTTTTTCCGCTTTTTTCTTCGACTTCTCCTCTTCCTGTATTAATTCTTCGGCATTTTTTCTTGCTTCCTAGATATAAACACACGATATTACAAATATATTTCAAAAACACCAGAAATACCACGAGAAACAATCATATCGACAAAGTATACATTCAACGTCGTATATGATAGAATTGCAGCTTACTTCTTCAGATATTTCTGGACGGACCTGTTTTTTCTTTTTCAAAACTTCTTGTTTAACTGGAAATTAAAGTATAACACACCACTTACATAAAGGGAATACACACCATTCCTATTGCAAACTGTCATGTACTTTGCCATCACTTTCTCAGCATTTCTATTTGTAGTAGTTTTAAGAGGAATGAAAGCAACAGGAAAAACAGATTGATTGATTTGAGAGAGTATGAGAGAGACACAAAGGGCCGAAATGCCCACTAAATTTCACCTGTTTTCAAGGCCGTTCTATAGGAAACCAAACGTCAACCAGCCTTACGTAAGTTTCGTAGCTACTCATACAAACTTACAAGAATTAGCTGTTGCTTTACTGACTCTTCTTGCCATCATATCAGAATACTTTGCATGATGTTGTCGACTTCGATAAATGGGAAAATCCTCGTCCGAGTCAGATATAAGAAAATCATCATCATCATCATAGTCGTCGTCATCGTAACCATCGTATTCGTCATTGTATTCATCATCCGAATAAAAAAAATTATCTGGAGCAAAGTCTATAAAAATAACGATTCAAAGACAAATGACTATAATGAATGAACATACAGGGACCGCAGAAAATCAATAATTAGCGGGGGGGGGGGTCATATTCACACATGCATGTTCATCATCCGTAGAAAACACTAAATTTTAAAGGAACTTAATATGGCATGTCATGCATACATGAAAATTACCCCCCCCCCTTAACCAATTATCAATTTTTCGCAGTTCCTGACTTAAGGAGATGAAGATGTAGAATTGAAAGTAAATGAATTTACTAAAATTACTGCATTTTAACAAAAGACATGCAACTATAAAAGTAAAGTTTAAAAATAAACAAGCATGACAGTGCTAATCCTTCCAGGATTGCTCGATTATCATAAAAAACAAGATTCCTGACACATAATAACCTGATTCTAAAGGCTAAATGACATGTCTTTGGCACTAGTTTCAAAGTGTATATGGCCATCAAGCAGGTTGTATACAACTGTGTATAGTCTGCATATTTATTCACTGTAAAATGTCAATACTCACATCCATTATTGCTGAAGAATATGTGAGCAAACAAATCAAACATATCTGCCTAAAATGAAGTACAATAAAATTTATCAGTGTCAGCATGCAATCAATGCTCATCAAATGTATTGTGGTTTTATATGAGAATGTACCCCTGAAAACATCTAACTGAGAAAGTTGCATACATTGCAAATTCAACTTCCCATGTGAAATGTCCACACTACCAACACTTGATATCCTGATATTATCATCATACATTGCAAATTTAACTCTCTAACAACTACCACATTCTTGCTTTTCTTGAAGCACTTCTCATCAAACACAACAAACCTTTCTAAACACGGGCTAGCAAAGAACTACAACTTTTCTCTTAAATTACAATACACTCATTCCACCAGTCGGATCTTTGGTTTCAATTCATCCTTTTGAAATACTACACCTCTTCCAACTCTGCTTTTGTAAATATCACAGTATTTAATTTCTATTGCTTACTTCCGTTACTTAATTCATGCGTTGTAAATATATATGTGTATGTATGGTCAGAGAATAAGGAATGTAAAGGAAGCGCCACTCGTTGTCGGAACCTATGATGTTCGTGTCCCCTGTTTTGAGTTCTACAATCCATGTATTTTATACGGCGGCCATATTTCCAGCCAGATCATGGTTTTAAATATCATTTTGTCTGAGGATGACTTTGAAATAAAGTCGAAAATTTACAGTTCACTTCTCGTCTTGCAGAGTTGTAAGTAGAACGTTAAGTGTATATTCACATATTCAGTTGTGCCCTACTGATTTCTTTTGAAATTCAAACCACTTTCAAAAGAAATCAGTAGTTCTAGTTACGCCTCTGTTGTCTTGTTTTGATGCATATTTTGCAATCGCAAGATGTCTTGCTTTTTCGAAATTTGCTTTATACTATATTTCTTTAAATTGTCGGCTGGTCATGGTTTTTATAAATCCACGTGGCCAGTATTGTGCATGGAGAAAATCATGCTTTACGAAATTTTCCAACGAGTTAAAAACTTTTTAGCAATCACAAGAAACGTCGATAGTTGCTTCATTTGAGTAAGCTTGCACCATATACGAATTTGGATGTTGGCCACATCAGCCAATTAAAATTTTTACCTTCAGTCATTCACAAGAAATGGTCTGTGTTTGGTAATAGAAAGCATTTTTGTCAGTCCTAACACTGTACACGTTGAACTTCCGGATCTGCTAGTCTGCACGTCTATGGATTAAATTAGGCAAAAAGTAAATGAGCAAATTTTCTCATTGATTCAACTACTGTAAATAAAATCAAAAGTTTTAATAGTAACTTCGTAGTTATCTCATGAAATACAAAGTTTATTACAGAGACAACTGACGCATGCAAAATGTGCATCAGATCCACTCGATAGCTAAACAAATGCGTGTGATAATTTGGAATCATTTTCCTGTGCAGTTCTCGCTCACTGTAGTTTCATGATATTTTGGTGTCTGTATAACACATTGAGTGTGAGTGTTTTTTTAGAATACAGGTGTAAGTCTTGGTTTTGTAAGTGTTTGAGAAAAAGCATAACACTTTGTATCAACATTATTACCAAAAATTTACAGCTGAGAATGGCAATCAATAGTATCTTAGATAGACATAAGAATGGAGAGTAAAAGAAGTTCAAATTCATTCAAATTGTATGAACACAAATTTACTTTGTAAACTGTGAGAATTTTGAGCAAGCCTGTACCCATATACCATACTAATCTGGAAGTTCGTCATATTAGCCAATTCGAATTTTTACCTTCAGTCATTTACAAAAAATGGTCTGTGTTTGGTAATAGAAAGCATTTTTGTCAGTCCTAACACTGTACACGTTGAACTTCCAGATCTGCTAGTCTGCACGTCTATGAATTAAATTAGGCAAAAAGTAAATTGGCAAATTTTCTCATTGATTGAACTGCTATAAATAAAATCAACAGTTTTAATACTAGCCATCTCCAGAAATACAAAGTTTATTACAGACAGCTGACACACGCAAAGTGTGCATTAATATCCACTCGATAACTAAACAAAATATAAACGGCTGTGATAATTTGGAATCATTTTCCTGTGCATTCTCGCTTGCTGTAGTTTCATGCAGAGGATATATTTATTGACTACAAAAGAGCACTTTATTCTTCCATGCATATAAAGTAGGCGAAAGGCTATTTTTGGATTACAAACCTTAACAGTTTACAAATTTTCCATTGTCATGTCTGTTTTTAAATTTTCACTTCAATCAGCGTGCTGAAGGAAGATGATTAAGATGACAAAACAAAGGAAGAGAACAGATAAAGCTTAGCGACTCAGTAACATTATTCACAACTCAACATCGCCACATCAAGAACGGTCGGTTAAAAGAAACTACTTTCCAATCAAGAAAAAGTCATTAAGATGTTCTTCAAAACTCTCTTTTTCATTGGTTATCTTTTGGCCACGGTCCATGCAGGTAGGGTTTTTCGACTTTAGAAATTTTAGAATTTGTAGCTTGTATTGAGACTTTGAGCACTGTGTAGTGTAGAAGACGGCGTAAACTGAGGTGTAGAAAAAGCAGTGCTGACTGTTTTGTCAGTCTTCATTTTTGATTCATCACTGGTTTATAAGACAGATTTTACTGTGAAATTTAAATTTGGCATCTTATTTTGAGAAAAATGCTTACTGGTTTTGTTTCAAGTTATTTCTATACATTTTTTTCTTGCTACAAAATCTTTAAAACTTGGTTGTGCTGAAATACAAATCATCACATTAATCGAGCTGATGACTGTTTCACAATTCACATCGCTTTAATCGTCCTAATCAGGTAACAGAAAAAAGATCGTTGAGGTACAAATGCATACCTTCAGGTGAAGATGAAATTATGACAACCTATTTTACACAAATAAGTTTTTGAGCTACATCAGCCCGAAGTTGTAAGTGTTAGTGTTCCATGCAACGTAGAGAACCGCGTAGAGTGTGTAATTTGCATAATTTTACAAATATGTTTACATTACCTTTTAAAGGAAAATGGAGAACAATTGCGTTGAACAAGTGCATTGGGGCCAAAAACAATCAATATGCTGAATTTTCATACCCAGGCCCTTCGCGGTTTATCATTGCTCTAAAGTTACATCATACCACTGGAAAGATTGGATGTGCTCCTGGACAAAAAACCAACTGGGGCTGCTCGCCATCACACCCAATGAACATTATCATTACAGGTAAATTAATACAAAATGATCAGCTGGAACATTTTCAAGGATAGTTTTGTTGCAAAATAGTTAACATAAAAAATCTTAATCGTCTGTCGAAGAATCATTCAAAAAACTTTTGGGTAATTCAGACTTAAAACAAATGGAAGTCGATGTTCTAACACTTTTTAATGACAATATTTCTGCATATATTGAACAATTTAATATAAACAGACGATTAAACCTTTATAAGGCTGAGTAGTTCATATTTTGGGTGGCTAGTTGACTAAGTTTTATTGTTGACGCCCTTGCCCAGCATTTCAAGTCATATTTAGTGAGAAAAACTGGGCAAGAATCATTAAAAGTCATACGAGGCAGAACAAGAATTACGTTTGTAGTGACTTTTAAACTATCCGCGATCGCAATGTTAAAAGTCTGAATGTTGAGTAATAGTTATTGGCCAAACATTACATAAAAGCATTTAATTTATGCGATCAATATTTCTGTTAATGAATTTCAGACACAAGAAATAAACGTATATTTCCTGCACCGTCTTTGATTACACCTAGCACACCTAAAGGCAACTGGTATAGTTTGCCGGGATACACCGAGAACTCGCCGAGTATCACCTTCGCTGTACCAGGTTTCCAATGGTTGTATTATGGTCAAACATTCAGAATCTGGTACGGAGAAGATCTGACAGATTCCACGGAAATCGACAATCATGGAAAAACTTGTATGAATGTACTCGTTTACACTACATGAGAATGTATATTTACTCATTTTAAAATTTTGTTGTTGTAATCCCAATAAAAAAGTATGTTAGTCTGTTTAGTTTACTATGGCAGTATGGCTATATGTTAGATGACAGGTTTCCAATAAGAAATATGAATAAACGAGAAAATGAAATATTATATGGATTATTCTGAGCTGTAATCTATATCTGCCATCCATTAGTTGGTGTATGTGTTACAAAAAAAATTTAACGCTCAATTCGCAATTCCAACAAATACGCGATTAAATAGCACGCAAACATTATCCTAAAAAGAAGCATGATGCATTCCTCTTTTACGAAACTTTTTACTCAAGACGAAATAAAATTTAGCCATTTACAGTTTAACTTTGTCATCTTTTATTTTATAATAAATTTAGGTCAAGTAGAATTACTTTTGATAAGGAAGTTTTGAATGTATACCTATATATCATGAATATTACTATATACTGGGAAAATTTTCAAATGTTTATAGCCATTCGTGAATCCTGTGAAAAATGTATATGATATTTTTATATCACGTTATGACCTACTGTAAACTAACGAGTTCATCAATATATTTCTGAGCGGACAAAAATCTTTGTCAATGTTTTTATATACGTCATGTAACAACTAAATGTATGCAAACTGTATTAGAATTTCACTTGCATCACATATTTTTCGAAAAGAAATGGTCAGCACTACGTCTGCATACAATATAAACTGGCAGCACTACGTCTATATACCAAATATATACATATATGGAGCTTCATAACACTGTATATGGACTAGAATGTTTCGAAAATTTAGTGTTAGCCTGTAACATATTGGAATTTGATTTTCGGTCTTTTCGTTTTAAACTTCTACCTTGACAAAGCATGACAGTAATTGGTACGAACCATTTTTTTAAAAACAAAGAACAACAACACATGAAATTTGATACAGAAGCAATGCTTCATTGTTCCCAAATTAACTTATATAAACACAAAGCACTTTCATGAATCGTCAGTTTAGAAGAAAAAATTCGCATCATAGGAAAACCATGAAGATGTTCTACAAGACTCTGATTTGCATCAGTTTCCTATTGGCCACAGCTCATGCAGGTATCGTAAAGATTTTCACGAAAATTAAGAATCGATAAAAGCTCTATTTGTGGCTTGTATTGGGGTTGTTGTGTAAGGAAAGGTTGTTCACTCACCGGCATAAAAAGTACTGGCGATTTTGATATTATCAAATTAAATCACTAATGTCGTATAAAAACTTGATTTTTAACATTGACTATCCACTTCGTCACACGCACATTGTCAGATCAAAAAAATCGTTTTGTGTTTACAAGATATTTAATCGTGAGCTAAATTTAAGGAATAAAATTACCAGATCGCATCGCAATTTTTTTTCCAATCATTATGGCAGTTTGGATGAGACACTGATTGCACTGAAAAGAATTAAAAAGAATTACAAAAGCAAAGAGAAAACAAGAAAATTTTTAAAAGCAACTAAAATGATGTACTGACTGTGAGGTAGCTACAAGAAAAATCTCTGAGCTACAAGCGCACACATTCGTCCTTATAAATGTTATCTTTTTACACAAGGAATTTTTACATTAAGTCCACCCGTAGCTGCAATTAAGTATTCCAATTTATTCTGGTATATTTAATTAAGAACTATATTGTGAGTTTGTGACGCTTTTCACGTTTTCAAGTTTTAGAAGAATGACCGCTTTCGGTAAAGTCGACATAAGCGGGAAGCCGTATCAAAATCTCAACTTTTCGCTACATCAAATCACTAGATATAGCTAACATTCTGTTTTACAGGAACGTGGAAAACCATTGCGTCAAATTTGTGCGTTGGGGCCAAAAAGGAAAATTTGCTTCACATCGTGAAGGGAAGACTACCGCTAAGGTTTAATACCTTACATAAGATGGCTACCATTAAGGATGTCGAAACATCACTCTACACCATTAAACTAAAATACATAGAACGCTATCTGAAGCAAATTATTGAATCCAAATCTTACACCCAGACACGCGTGTGTAGTGTTTAGAGATGTTGAAAATTGATTGACTACACACGCCTGTCTGGGTGTAAGCTTAAGCTTCGAGAATTTATTAGACTTTTCTCTTAAAGGTAGCGTTCCATGTATTTTAGTTCAATGCTCAACACTAACATACACAATCTTTATCAAGACTGCACTAACGTGGACAATCTACATCAACAAAGATTGTATGTTTTTATATCTATCTCCATCTTAAGGAAAAAGTCATATATAACTGTACTGCTCACGTGGGTGCTGACGTCATCCGAACACTTGTCACTTCTGTTTTTCGAAGACATTGGACAATCCTCTTCGTTTCCTTTCGCTATTTGTTCATCGCCTTCGGGATTTATATTTTCTTTCGAGCTGTCCTGATTTTCTTGAACATTCTCGATTTTTTCAATTGATGTTGTCACCTCATTCGTCTAAAATATCACGGGAATTTATTCGCTGATAAACTGGACAAAATGGTCCAAACCTGCAGACCTGCAAACCTGCTAACCTGCAGATCAGAAGGTCAGTTTTATTCCACTTGAAAATCTTTTATTGAAAAACAACTCAATTAAATGGGAAAAGCTTAGTAATTTCGAAAAAAATGCAACAAATCCGAAAAACAATTATATCCAATTGAAAGAACAACTCAACTAATTCGAGAAACAACTAAATGCAATTAAAAACTATTTAACAAATTCGTGAGAAAAATTGATTCAATCCTGGATAAAAAACAAAAAATCCTGTTGTGTGCTCGGGTTAAAACGACGGATTAATACAAGAATTAGACTGGAGTTAAAAGCTCTTGTAAAACTTCAAACTCTGTAACAAACTTTGCCAAAAAAGGAATAATTTGAATTTAGCTGGTAATTCAAATATACGTAAATCTTCGCAGTCTCCACACATCAGCATTTTTATCATTGACGAGTACCTCATCAACAAATGTTGTACTTCATCAACAAATGTTGTACTTCATCAACACATGTTGTACCTTTTGACTGTCGTTACTTTTCTCTCGTTCTCTTTTCTTACGATTAGCTCGATTTCTCTGAAAACAAAATGGAGGCAAAACTAGCTATGTAACCGTGTGAAGACCAATATTGCCAAACAGGAATAGTGAAAAAATGAGCTACGGATCCAGGGAACGCGCAAAATGTGTTCTGGACCCAGAGAATGTATGCCAACCAAGATGCATTGCGCGTTAATCACCACGTGACGGCCATATTTTGGGTGGCGAAAATGGCTACAATTGTCATTGTAGTCAATGCAACGTGGACAAACGATAATAGTTATTGTAAAATTGAACTTTTAACCAATGTTTTTTTGCTAACTCTCAGATAAATTAAACGACGAAATGTCGAACATGAATTCAGAGTGCTGCAGGCTCAAAAAGCAACGATGTCAACATAAACAAATACGCGCAATGCATCTTGGTTAACGCACATTCTTTAAGCCAACCTTTACATTCTGAATTATTCGATACGTTTATCTATTAGTTGATATAATGATGTTCCATTAAAACTCTTTATGAAATAGGATAGAGTACATTCTCCTGTATCCTACATTATCAAAAGACAATCCTTCATAATTACGTAGGAGGGCATTCGGACGAAAAGCCCATTTAGGTTTAGTCTGCACTAGAGAAACATTTCAATTTTGTCTGATTAACATAGCTAATAACCAGAAAGACTAAGTAGACTTTAAATAAAAAACAGGTAAAATGAAACCTTTCTTCTAGCTTTGCGTTTTTCCGCTTTTTTCTTCGATTTCTCCTCTTCCTGTATTAATTCTTCGGCATTTTTTCTTGCTTCCAAGATATAAACACACGATATTACAAATGCATTTCAAAAACACCAGAAATACCACGAGAAACAATCATATCGACAAAGTATACATTCAACGTCTTATATGATAGAATTGCAGCTTACTTCTTCAGATATTTCTGGACGGACCTGTTTTTTCTTTTTCAAAACTTCTTGCTTAACTGGAAATTAAAGTATAACACACCACTTACATAAAGGGAATACACACCATTCCTATTGCAAATTGTCATGTACTTTGCCATCACTTTCTCAGCATTTCTATTTGTAGTAGTTTTAAGAGGAATGAAAGCAACAGGAAAAACAGATTGATTGATTTGAGAGTGTATGAGAGAGACACAAAGGGCCGAAATGCTCACCAAATTTCACCTGTTTTAAGGGCCGTTCTATAGGAAACCAAACGTCAATCAACCTTACGTAAGTTTCGTAGCTACTCATACAAACTTACAAGAATTAGCTGTTGCTTTACTGACTCTTCTTGCCATCATATCAGAATACTTTGCATGATGTTGTCGACCTCCATAAATGGGAAAATCGTCGTCCGAGTCAGACATAAGAAAGTCAACATCATCATCATCATAGTCATCGTCATCGTAACCATCGTATTCGTCATCGTATTCATCATCCGAATAAAAAAAATTATCTGGAGCAAAGTCTATAAAAATAACGATTCAAAGACAAATGACTATAATGAATGAACACACAGGGACCGCGGAAAATCAATAATTAGCGGGGGGGAGGTCATATTCACACATGCATGTTATAATCCGTAGAAAACACTAAATTTTAAAGGAACTTAATATGGCATGTCATGCATACATGAATATTACCCCCTCAATTATCGATTTCTCGCAGTTCCTGACTTAAGGAGGTGAAGATGTAGAATTGTAAGTAAATTAATTTAGTGAAATTACTGCATTTTAACAAAAGACATGCAACTATAAAAGTTCACATCCAGCAAAATTGTGTAAAGCTTAAAAATAAACAAGCATGACAGTGCTAATCCTTCCAGGATTGCTCGATTATCATAAAAAAACAAGATTCCTGACACATAATAACCCGATTCTAATGGATAAATGACATGTCTTTGGCACTAGTTTCAAAGTGTATATGGCCATCAAGCAGGTTGTATACAACTGTGTATAGTCTGCGTATTTATTCACTGTAAAATGTCAATACTCACATCCATTATTGCTGAAGAATATGTGAGCAAACAAATCAAACATATCTGCCTAAAATGAAGTACAATAGAATTTATCAGTGTCAGCATGCAATCAATTCTCATCAAATGTATTGTGGTTGTATATGAAAATGTACCCCTGAAAACATCTAACTGAGAAAGTTGCATACATTGCAAATTAAACTCTCCCCATGTGAAATGTTTTGTTAAGTCCACAGTACCAACCATTGATATCCTGATATTATCATCATACATTGCAAATTTAACTCCCCATGTGAAATGTTATGTTCAGTCCACACTACCAACCATTGATATCCTGATATTATCACCATACATTGCAAATTTAACTCACTTCCCCTGTAAAATGTTAAGTATACACTACCAACCATTGATATCTTGATCTTATCATCATATATTGCAAATTTAACTTACTACCACCACCCCATGTAAAATGTTTTGTTACGTCCACACTACCAACCATTGATATCCTGATATCATCATCGTCTTCCTTACTGGTCAACCTCTTGTATGCCTCAGAAATTTCTTGAAATTTCTTAATTGGATAAATAATGAACAACGATTACATCAAGAAGGTGTTTGTAGCTGTTGTCCCAACTAGTCAAACTGGAAGTTGGCAGAGAAAACTGTAGATATTTTATTTATATTCTGCAGTTGTATGCATAGCATTTGTGCAACTGGCTTCGGCATTTCAATGCACTATGTAGTTACTTAGCCAATCAGAGCTTCATACAAGCCATCACAGTTGTAAATTAAGTTGGTTAAACAATTTGTTTTTATCTTGTCTTCCGGCACAAAAAGGGAATTTTTACATACATATATGAGAGCAAACAACTAAAGAATTTCATATAATTTTAAATCATTTTCTATACCTTGGTTCATTCAGCACTGTTGCTATGTTTATCCGGGTGCCATCGCAGGGAGCGCTTTTTATAACTTGCACGAGTTTCATCTTGCGTGGAGCCTATAGAACAGATGCATTAATATCATTGATCACTAGTTGCCATTTGACATTTCTATATAATTAGTTGATAATGGATATGGTTTCTTTATAAGAAATAGCATTATTACTACACCAGGTTATATTGTTACATTAGCAGTGTTCGAATTAGTTCAGAAAAAACGATGTGCAATTTTTTTGACAAAAGTGTTTCTTTAGAGGCATAATCAAATCAATATTACCTTAGTTATTATATAGCACTAATTGCTAAATAAATATTTTTAAACTTGAACAAATTCATATGATTTACGACAGTGTTTTTCGTTAAAACATCTGATTTTTGCACATTGTTTGAAAAAGTGATGTGCAATTGTTTTCATTTTAGCTAAAACGATGTGCAAATTGCACATTGCACATCGTTAATTAGCACACTGCATTAGGCAATTGTGGGTTTTGTTAGCTAATAATTATTGATACCACATTTATATTGTGTACTATTTATTTGGGAGTGATTGTGGGTTTTATTAGGTAATAATTATTGATACCACACTTATATTGTGTAGTGTTCATTTGGGAGTGACAAAATGACGATTAATTTCGCTTTCACATTTGGATGCAGTTTTGCAAAATATTCAGCCAATAACATGTGATAACAACAGAAATGCAGTCAAGAATCATATCTTTTATTATGTAACAGAAGTTAAATTTTTATATATCTGATACAAAACTGTCTCATATGAATGCATTTTTACTGCTTAAAAGGAAAATATTATTATGTTAACTAAGCATATTCTTAAAAATTAAATAATTTACTCATTGAGAAAACATGTCCTGGCCGTTTTATAAAATATTTAGTGAGCTTAGATAAATTATTTGAAGAGCGAATACTTCAAAAGCACAACTTTTGTTTGTGGAAATTTTTTAGCAGAAAAATTATAAGGAAAGGAAACTATTTATGATAGTCTGAGGAAGAAAGTATTTTCCTCGAAAATCAAACAAGTTTTTAAATTGTATAATTTTAGCAATATAAGAAAACTTAAAATGCAAATCATTGGAAGTAATGCATCCATAGTTTGCATCATAAATTTCAGTATATTTACAAAGTTCGGTATAGTATAGTATAGACAGCACAGCACTTAACTGCAACTAAAAAACGAATTAAAGACAAACATATTAGTTATACATAGTAAATACATTAACCAAACCTTCAGCTATTTCAAGAATTTTCAGCGCCTCCGATTTAGTCATGACCATTTTTGCGCCTATTTAGTTCACAACCATTTTTTATATACAAAATACAAAATCTCTCGTCGCCATATTGAAAGTGGGGCACGATATCCACACCCCCCGTCCCAGCATCACAGCATTCGTAACATTACCCATAGATGTTACCAAATGTTATTGATGTTGCGATGTTACCAACAAGGAGAAGTGGTTCCCAACGGACGAAAGATATCAAACAATACACATTTTAATTCGTAATTTAAGCAGATTTTTATTTGGGAGTGACAGCAATTTCGATGATAATTTATGAAGCTTCATAGTACGAAATAACTTGTATACGAAATAACTTGCCCTGGCTGTGGTAAAACCTACATCAGCATAACACAAAGATGCCTATCTGTACGGCTCAGAGAACATGCAACCAGGCTCTCTTCTAGTGCAGTTGGCCAGCATTTCTCTGAGTTTGAAAACGCTCAATTCCTGGCTACTCTACAAAACCAGTTTTCACCAGAGCCCTCTATAGTATAATATAGTATAGTATTGTTGTATTTCGACAACCTTAGCGGTAGTCATCTTCAGAGTCAAATGAGGAGTAAACGTCAGGTTAGCCGTATTTGTTATCTGGTTCTTACGTCGTTGTATTGTGTGTACAGGAAATGTGTGGGTGTAAATTGTGAATTAGTGTGAAGTAAAATATTTTTATTTTTAATAGTTGATTCGTCTGTAACAGACGTTAATCCGTGCTCGTATCAGTCGTCTACTGGTGGATTTGACAATCTGAATAGCCTCTTGTGTGTCCAACGGGGACTTAATTCTAAGTCCTGCCGGAACGAGACCAAAATCCTTGCAGCGGTGGTTGAACCAGAGTTGTTGGCGAATGCGTCTGACGTTGCTTGCAAAACGTATGTAGTCTTTAGCAAGTTTTTCGCTCTGTCGTCCAGATCATCGTAATAAAGTAAATGGTTTGAACCCAGGAGTATCGTTACATGTTTGTAAATGTCGATCGCCCAGGTTGGTATAGTCGGCAGGACTTAGAATTAAGTCCCCGTTGAACATACAAGAGGCTATTCAGATTGTCAAATCCACCAGCAGACGACTGATACGAGCACGGATTAACGTCTGTTACAGACGAATCAACTATTAAAATTAAAAATATTTTACTTCACACTAATTCACAATGACAATACACATTTCCTGTACACACAATACAACGACGTAAGAACCAGATAACAAATACGGCTAACCTGACGTTTACTCCTCATTTGACTCTGAAGATGAGTACCGCTAAGATTGTCGAAACGTCAGTCAACAACAACAAAAACAGTCCTTCTCAGGACTATGCCAACCTGGACAATCGACATTTACAAACATGTAACGATACTCCCGGGTTCAAACCATTTACTTCAATGATCTCTCTCCACCTCCCAGAACTCCCTCTCCTATAGAAAACCTTGTATTCAAAAACAATAAAATACTTCACTCAACCGAATCTAACAACTACCACATTCTTATTTTTCTTGAAGCACTTCTCATCAAACACAACAAACGTTTCTAAACACGGGACTTAACGCTAGCAAAGAATTACAACTCTTCTCCTAAATTACAATACACTCATTCTACCAATCGGATCTGTGGTTTCAATTCATCCTTTTGAAATACTACACCTCTTCCAACACTGCTTTTGTAAATATCACACTATTTAATTTCTATTGCTTACTTACGTTACTTAATTCATGCATTGTAAATATATATGTGTATGTATGGTTTTAAATATCATTCTGTCTGAGGATGACTTTGAAATAAAGTCGAAAATTTACAGTTCACTTCTTGTCTTGTTTTGATTCATATTTTGCAATCGCAAGATGACTTGCTTTTTCGGAATTTGCTTTATACTATATTTCTTTAAATTGTCGACTGGTCATGGTTTTTATAAATCCACGTGGCCAGTATTGTGCATGGAGAAAATCATGCTTTACGAAATTTTCCAACGAGTTAAAAACTTTTTAGCAATCACAAGAAACGTCGATAGTTGCTTCATTTGAGTAAGCTTGCACCATATACGAATTTGGATGTTGGCCATCTCAGCCAATTCAAATTTTTACCTTCAGTCATTCACAACAAATGGTCTGTGTTGGGTAAAAGAAAGCATTTTTGTCAGTCCTAACACTGTACACGTTGCACTTCCGGATCTGCTAGTCAGCACGTCTATGGATTAAATTAGGCAAAACGTAAACGGGCAAATTTTCTCATTGATTGAACTGCTGTAAATAAATCCAAAAGTTTTAATAGTTACTACGTAGTTATCTCATGAAATACAAAGTTTATTACAGAGAATACTGACGCATGCAAAATGTGCATCAAATCCACTCGATAGCTAAACAAATGCCTGTGATAATTTGGAATCATTTTCTTGTGCATTTCTCGCTCGCTGTAGTTTGATGATATTTTGGTGTCTGTATAACACATTGAGTGTGAGTGTTTTTTTAGAATACAGGTGTAAGTCTTGGTTTTGTAAGTGTTTGAAAAAAAGCATAACACTTTGTATCAACATTATTACCAAAAATTTACAGCTGAGAATGGCAATCAATAGTATCTTAGATAGACATAAGAATGGAGAGTAAAAGAAGTTCAAATTCATTCAAATTGTATGAACACAAATTTACTTTGTAAACTGTGAGAATTTTGAGCAAGCCTGTACCATATACCATACTAATCTGGAAGATTGTCATATCAGCCTATTCAAATTTTTACCTTCAGTCATTCACAAAAATGGTCTGTGTTTAGTATGGATAGAAAGCATTTTTGTCATATTCCTGACTGGCTGACACTGTACTCGTTGCACTTCCGGATCTGCAATTTACACGTTCACGGATTAAATTAGGGAAAAAGTAAATTGGCAAATTTTCTCATTGATTGAACTGCTATAAATAAAATCAACAGTTTTAATACTAGCCATCTCCAGAAATACAAAGTTTATTACAGACAGCTGACACACGCAAAGTGTGCATTAATATCCACTCGATAACTAAACAAAATATAAACGCCTGTGATAATTTGGAATCATTTTCCTGTGCATTCTCGCTTGCTGTAGTTTCATGCTGAGGATACATTTATTGACTACAAAAGAACACTTTATTCTTCCATGCATATAAAGTAGACGAAAGGCTATTTTTGGATTACAAACCTCACCAGTTTACATATTCTCCATTGTCATGTCTGTTTGTAAATTTTCACTTCAATCAGCGTGCTGAAGGAAGATGATTAAGATGACAAAACAAAGGAAGAGAACAGATAAAGCTTAGCGACTCAACGATTATTCACAACTCAACATCGCCACATCAAGAACGGTCGGTTAAAAGAAACTACTTTCCAATCAAGAAAAAGTCATTAAGATGTTCTTCAAAACTCTCTTTTTCATTGGTTATGTTTTGGCCACAATCCATGCAGGTAGGGTTTTTCAACTTTAGAAATTTTAAAATTTGTAGCTTGTATTGAGACTTTGAGCACTGTGTAGTGTAGAAGATGGCGTAAACTGAGATGTAGAAAAAGCAGTGCTGACTGTTTTGTCAGTCTTCAATTTTGATTCATCACTAGTTTATAAGACAGATTTTACTGTGAAATTTAAATTTGGCATCTTATTTTGAGAAAAATGCTTACTGGTTTTGTTTCAAGTTATTTCTATACATTTTTTTCTTGCTACAAAATCTTTAAAACTTGGTTGTGCTGAAATACAAATCATCACATTAATCGAGCTGATCACTGTTTCTCAATTCACATCGCTTTAATCGTCCTAATCAGGTAATAGAAGAAAGATCGTGTAGGTACAAATGCATACCTTCAGGTGAAGATGAACTTATGAGAACCTATTTTACACAAATAAGTTTTTGACCTACATCAGCCCAAAGTTGTAAGTGTTAGTGTGCCATGCAATGTAGAGAACCGCGTAGAGTGCGTAATTTGCATGATTTTACAAATATGTTTACATTACCTTTTAAAGGGAAATGGAGAACAATTGCGTTGAACAAGTGCATTGGGGCCAAAAACAATCAATATGCTGAATTTTCATACCCAGGCCCTTCGCGGTTTATCATTGCTCTAAAGTTACATCACACCACTGGAAAGATTGGATGTTCTCTTGGACATAAAAGCAACTGGGGCTGCTCGCCATCATCCCCAATGAGCATTATCATTACAGGTAAATTAATAAAAAATGATCAGCTGGAACATTTTCAAGGATAGTTTTGTTGAAAAATAATTAACATAAAAAACTTAATCGTCTGTCGAAGAATCATTCAAATAGCTTTTGGGTAATTAAGACTTAAAACAAATGGAAGTCGATGTTCTAAAACTTATTAATGACAGTATTTCTGCATATATTGAACAATTTAATACAAACCGACGATTAAACCTTTATAAGGCTGAGTAGTTCATATTTTGGGTAGCTAGTTGACTGAGTTTTATTGTTGACGCTCTCGCCCAACATTTCAAATCATATTTAGTGAGAAAACTGGGCAAGAATCATTAAAAGTCATACGAGGCAGAACAAGAATTAAGTTTGTAGTGACTTTTAAACTATCGGCGATCGCAATGTTAAAAGTCTGAATGTAGGGTAGTAGTAATTGGCCAAACATTACATAAAAAGCATTTAATTTATGCGATCAATATTTCTGTTATTGAATTTCAGACACAAGAAATAAACGTATATTTCCTGCACCGTCTTTGATTACACCCAGGACTAATGGCAACTGGTATAGTTTGCCGGGATACAATTCTAACTCGCCGAGTATCACCTTTGCTGTACCAGGTTTCCGATGGTTGTATCATGGTCAAACATTCAGAATCTGGTACGGAGAAGATCTGGCAGATTACACGGAATACAACAATCATGGAAAAACTTGTATGAATGTACTCGTTTACACTACATGAGAATGTATATTTACTCATTTTAAAATTTTGTTGTTGTAATCCCAAAAAAAAAGTATGTTAGTCTGTTTAGTTTACTATGGCAGTATGGCTATATGTTAGATAACAGGTTTCCAATAAGAAATATGAATAAACGAGAAAATGAAATATTATATGGATTATTCTGAGCTG